CTCCAATGCCCTCCACCCCCACTGCGTCCACGGGCCTAAGTGTGCGAGCCTGTTTCTCATTAGTATCTGTCCGTACTGAACTCCCTCACATTTTCCTCATGGAGAATGAATGCCTCCTGCTCTTTTGAATATATGACTGCTGTCACAGGCTGGTGCATTTTATTGTTTTGTTGCATGTACTCTCTTTCTCCACTGATTTTCTTCATATGGTCTTCCATGCACTCTAATGTTTCCAAACCATTTTTGTCTTAGGTACCCCCACAGGAACATCAGTAAGGCTCTAGTACCCAAACCAGAAATGTGTGTTTTTTAATTATTATACTGTATTGCACTGGATATATGTCAGGAATATTACTAATATTAGTAAAGGTACTAATACTATTAAAGATAATAAAGTTAATATATAATATATATATTCCTTCTTCTTCCTTCTTTTAATTCATTGCTTTTGTTGGATCATCCTTTTCATTAAGGAATAGCCTAATTCTCCATCTCTCACTCTCTCTCTTTTGTTCTTTTTCCTATTTTTGACCATCACAAAGTTTAAATGTTCAAAACTAACCTTGCATTTGAAGAGATACATTGTAATGCATCTGATATATTTTAAAGTGTCATACGAACAGCTCATTTCATGCAACATTACTGCTGGCAGGACTAAATGTTCAAAGCAACTCTTCAGTAACTGACTAGTCCAGTATGAGACATTTGTGCAACTCTTGCCATCTTCAGTCTGACGCGAGAAGAACTCCCTGTAACTGATCAAAGAAAGTGTATATTTCAACTGCGCCATAATAGTAAGGACATTAATATCTCAGATACCTCTCTCCAGATACCACTTTTCTTCCTGATTCCTGGGGCTTTTGACTGCACGTATCTCTCGGTTGTGTTTAATTTGATTTGTTATTCTCTCCCTCTGAAGTGTCAGTGCTGTACCAAGCTGGCGTGACCACTGGATTATTACCCCGGGGTCTCCAGTGGTGTGGACAGTCTGCTTTTCTGGTCACATAGAGAAGAGCGGAGCAGGGGGACAGTTTGTGTGAACAGCTGGGCCCTGTTTTCAGCCTTCTGACTCAATTACCTCCTCCTCTTTGAAGAGCTCTTTTCTTACACATTTTCACATATGCAGCAAACATTAGGGTCAACAGAGTAAACTCATTTCATACTTTTACTTATAAAAACGTTTTATTATGATGCTCGAATGGTAAAACATTGCCTAGGGTAATTTTTATTTTATTTTAACCACATTAGTATATATCAATAGCCAGTGAATGAAGTCACAACTCATTTATCATAGAACATCCTAAAGGCATGTTATTGTACGATATGGTCAAAAAGAAACAATATAAAAAAACGTACCAAATAAACAGTAATTCAAAAAATAGTGACGTGTTTCAGATAGTCTAGCTAAACTACTAGCTGTGAAAGGACAGGTGGGTGAGTGGCTACTATTAGCACTGTTATACCACGAGTGGGGCTTTCACAGATTTTTCAGGAAAGTGTGAGAATGATTGAACATGGAGCGCAGTGCTGCAATAACAGTTTTCTTTGCCCTGTCTGACATGTGATTAACTTACAAAAGAGAATGTATTTGCAACAGGTGCCTCTAATACGGAGCAGGCATGAGGGGCTCCATGCACTCTCTCTCTAACCTCCATGAACCCGCCAGGGAAATCTGATTCCCGCTTACACACAAGCAAACACTACTCTTACTCGCAGAGGGAGAGGACAGGTGTGTGTGTGTGTGTGTGCAATTCAGTGTGTGACTAATACCGGACATTTGGGTTGGTTGATGATTAAATCTGATGATTTTTCATTTATTTATATTTTAAAAAGTGTGCTCTTTACGCCCATGTTAAACTGACTTACTATAACTTTTTAAATGTACAAGTATATGTATTGATAGAGTTGTAAATCTACACTGCAAGAAATGTTCATTTTAATGTAAAAAATGAAAATTGTATATATATATAATCTTCATTATTTTTTTTACATTAAAATATTTACATTACTTTTCAGTCAACACATACTTGCACATTTCAAAAGTTATAGCAAGTCAGTTTAACATGGGCGTAAAGAGAATTCTTTTTGACCTAATAATAGATGAAAAATCATCAAAATTAATCAGCAACCAACCCAAACGTACAGTATTAGTCACATTGACGTGCACACATATAATTTTCATTATTTTAAAATAATAATAGATATAACTGCCACAATATTTACCATATATTCAAATCAAGAAAAATATTGCAATTTATACTTTTATAATGAATGTTTATTGCATTATTTTAATCTGTATGCTAGTATAAACACATGACATGTGCTGTAAAGCTTTAATACACTGTAACTGTATTTTTAGGTCCAGTTTTTTAAATTACCATTCATTTTAAAAAGTTTCAATTTTTTTGCTTATTTTACCGTGTAGAATTTAATTTATCTCATTATGAGTGTTAAAAACCTAGTAAATTACTTATTAGTTTCAGTTTTAATATGATAATCATTTTTATTTTTTTGTGTGCTTTTATGTCTTACTTGAAATAGTTTTGATGTAGGCAAATATTTTTCATTTTGGGATGCTTGGAGTCCTTATTGGATGGTTTGGATTGGATCTCCTCCCACACAGTTTAATTTCACATCCTCAGTCTTGATCATTTGATAAATAAGGCTGTCAGCACAAGTCCATTGTTAAGACTGTATTTACATAGCTTCTTGCCGAATAAGCGTGTCAAATACTGTGCTCTGCTTTCTGGCAAGCTGCCGGGAAATGTATTTCATTCACTGTCAATTGTAACAACAGTGGGCGCGTCTATTTGTGTTTTTCTTCCTCTTCCAACCAATCCCTGTCTCCGGGGGCATGTCATAAATGTTGGGGAACCAATCGGCAGTGTTTATTGCTGAACTTTTGCTACTTTGAGCAAGTTAAAGGGGTCATATGATGCGATTTCAATTTTTCCTTTCTCTTTGGAGTGTTACAAGCTCTTGGTGCATAAAGAAGATCTGTAAAGTTGCAAACACTAAAGTCTCAAAACCAAAGAGATATTCTTTATAAAAGTTAAGAGTTAACCACGCCTACCTAAAACGGGCACACACAATGATAAGGTTAATATTCAATAATAACACAATGTACAACATATAAGTATCTCACAACAAGGAATATCACAGAAATACTCGCGAATGCACTGAATCGAGCAGGCAATACAGGCAGCGCCATGCCAACCGGCCACTCCTCAGTCGGGCAACAAATGCCTCGTTTGTAATGGGTTTTAATGTTTTTGTCTCCTCACTCTGGCCGGACACGGCACCAACAGTATGGTGAGGGGCGTAACATTTCCGTCTCACGCTTGAGGTATTCGGCCAATCACAACGCATTGGATAGCTGGCCAATCACAGCACACCTCGCTTTTTCAGACCGATGAGCTTTGTAAAAATCGACGCGTTTCAAAAAGGCGGGGCATAGAGGAGAAACAATGATGTACAGTATGTGGAAAATAATGTGTTTTTTGAACTTTAAACCGCATAAACACATTTCATTACACCAAATACACAAAATAATGTTCTTTTTAGCAGCATCATATGACCCCTTTAATACATTGAGAGACATCGCCCCGCCTGGTCTACTCTAGCCAAAGTCTTTAACCCTTTATGTGCACGAGTGAACGAAATGGCACAGAAAAGTGATGATTTGAACATTTGGACATTTAAAAAAAAATCTTTTTGTCTGTTTTTTTGGCTATTTCATGTAGAACGATTTAGCTTACATTGAAATTGAAATGGATCGAACCAAAAGGTCAAAGAATAAGGTGTATTGTTTTTGCATGAATGTATTACACCCCAGGCTAATTAGGATGGTATATTACTAAATTTAAGTTTTTTTGAAGGGGCTGCATCTACCAGTCTATGCATGACCCATTGCTGGAATTCACACCTGAATGGGAGCCGTTTGCATCTCATGAGGTCATTCTATGGAATTTGCAAGCTTCCCCGTCTACTGAAAATTCCTCATGTGCAGGTAGTGCACACTCTGCATCACAATAACAAAAACTATTTCAGAATATGATATGGATGTATTAAAACAGGTGCTGTTACAAGGAACTTGGCAGTTACTTATTTAAGACAGAAAGATATGTAGAAAATAAGTAGAGCAGTTCTCAAGTACATATAATATAAATAAATGCAATAAAATGAAGATAAATTAAATGAATTCTACATGGAGTAGAATCAAATTAATTCAAATTCAAATTAATTAGTCACTACTACAAATCATAACAATAAAAAATACAAAAATATAGCAAGTTGAGTGCAAATGTGCAATAGTCACCACTCTGCGAAGTCTCTCTGTTCAAAGATAATCTTGTTTCCCAGTAATCTTTTTTCATGTGAACTTAATGCATCCAGACCGATAGGTGTCAGTATAAAGTCCAAACTAGTGCTAATTTTGCAAGAAATAAGAGGCCATTAAATAGAAAAAAACTTTGAGTGCACCTTTTAAGACGTTGAATGGTTTGTTATATTATGCAGTGCAGTTGCTGTTAAAAGTTCTTGTGCATATAACTTATCAGATTAAGCTTACATTTTGTATTTAAAAAAAAGAAACAAACAAACAAACAATAGAAAGAAAGAAAAGTACGCTGTAGACTCATGAAAACCCATAAAACTGCGAATAAAATTATGACCAGAGTAAAGCTGCTCTGACATCATCTTGAAAAATGTTTGTTAAATAATTTTTGGATTTTTACATTTGTTCCAATTTACTCGCAGTTCTTCCTCTGCTTAGAATAAACAATCATCTTAGTTAGGATATATGTTGAGAAAAGAAATAGATGGATGTTACGCCTTTAAGAGTTAAGAAACTTGAAACCCTGTTTGCGCAACAATCAGTGCAGCTCAGAGCCGCCAAAGTGTCTAGACTAGCACATGATGGTAGTCAGCCAATGGCTCCATCGCTCTCCTCGGGGGCCCTGTGTGTGTGCGTATGTGTGTGTGACAGGGGAAGAAAAAAAAGGAAAAAGGGAGAGAAACGGAGAAAGACAGAGAGATCTGGGTTGCAGTTTGACCAGGTCTGAACACGGAACCAGGAGCACACAAGTCCACGGATTGTTCCTTTTCTGATCCCGGCGCGCGCACAAGGATATTTTGGGATCGCAAAAAAGAGTGCGCTGGAATAGTGGAAAACAACCGGAATGGTGAATTCTGTGAGGAATTGTCTGTGGATTTTATTCGCCGAGGAGCAGCTTCATTCATGTCACCAGACCCGCTGTTGAAGAGTGGATTTGAATGTGTTTCAAAGTCCGAAAACATTTGAGAGCGTGCGACTAGTGTATCTTTTTGCATGGGATTTTGGCAACAAATGTCTTTGGTGTAGTTCAAATCCGTAGTGCATTTAAAAACTAAAACGTATCGCACTGTATAGCTCCACTTTCCAAACATTGTTCACATGTAGGCTACTTGACAGCGTTCTTCAAAAATGAATACGTTTCTGTGTAGCCTTGTGGTTGTTTGATGTTTTCTGTTTTTTTTTTAAATGCAATATAACATTGTGCCTACAAAACTAATGTGGTTTTGCCACCAATATACGGTGCTCGGCTGTGCACGCGCTGCACGGCATTCGGCCAACATTAATGTTGCACGAGCTCAGAAATAGTTTCAAATCGCTGAGATCTGAACGTAAATAACTCATCTAGAGTTTCAAGGTGTCGTATGTTCAGGACGAAACGCTCAGGTCTTGTGCGGCGACTCTGGAGAAGCCGATTGATTCCAGATAAAGAGGGGGGCGATGGATATGGCAAGAGCGGCGAGGGGTCTCGAGACGATCTGCTTGGCTCCAACCCAGAGAAAATTCCCAAGACGGAGTTCAAACCGATGACCCCGAGCGGGTCGCCTGGCGTGGACTATGGGCAAGTGTGTACGAGGAATCCCACTGCAAGCAGCGGTGGTGGCACCTCAGGGGGCGTTTTGGACCAAGATGGGGGTACGGTGTGTACGGTGGGAAGCCCTCGGTCTGTGCAGGACAGCGATTGTAGAACAGTCACTTGCTGTTTATTTAAAGATCGGGACCATCATTCTGGATCTAGAAGCCCGGAGCGAGGCTCGTGCCAGTTCGTGCTGGGGAACATTGGTTCTTCTCGGGACCCCGGTCCTCTTGAGAGCCAGGAGACGAAACCTCGCTCCGTCATGGAGCAGGAGCTCAAGACCGCCACCTATTCGCTATTAAAAAGGCTAAAGGAGAAAACCTTGGATACTTTGTTGGAAGCCGTGGAGTCCAAAGGAGGGATGCCGAGCGACTGTGTGATGGTATCGCGGACCGAGTTGCGGTTAGGCGGCCACATGGCTCCTCCACAGCTGCTCATCTGTAAGCTTTACCGGTGGTCAGACCTGCAGCACACGGCCCAGCTTAAAGCGCTCTGTGAGTGCAAGAGCTTCGGAGCTCAGGACGGTCCGGTAGTGTGCTGCAATCCATATCATTATAGCCGACTCTGTGGGCCAGGTAAGCAAGGATCCCATTGACGGATATGTCTAAAAGCTGAACTGACTAGATTTTCTCATTGCTAGGCTTCACTTTCAACCTGCTGCTATGCCAAAGGGCTTTCCTCAGGGTTCCACTAACAGATGCATTGAAGCTTTGTTGTTACAGTGATTCATATACTATAATGCCATTGATAAAATGTGTGCAATAGCAAAGAATAATTTCCAATTGATAGCCAATTCAGTGTCAAAAGAAATACGGTTAAATGTAAGCAAAATACGCTTTAGTGCTTGAAATAGCTTAAGTAATGATATCAGTGACTTAAAGAATAGCAATTTGCACATTGTCCACAATGTAGCAGCTCTGTACTGTTCTGTTTTTATTTTCTACTACTTCATAATTTTCCATCACAGTTGTTACCCTATATCCAGGAAACTTTAAGTAAAATACAAACAAAATAATTGCATATAAAATGCATGACGTTTTTAAAAATGTTTTTAATGCAGGTTTCTGAATTGACAAATAGACAACATGTGTGACCTTGATTAAATTAGGCTACTGCTTAGTTTATTAATTATCTGCTGGTATACATGGGTTATTCTCCAAATGATTGTCTCAAATAGAAATACGGTTGGGACAGTTATTTTTATTTGATTTAGATAAATTAATTGGAGTCTGACTTCATGTAAACACTGGCCGTGTGGCCTTAAAGATCTCAAATCTAAATCCAAGCTTTTTAAGGAAAGCAAATAGGCTACGTTTTCATTCCGATCTTTTCCTTAGTCAAGTCATTAGCAATAATAGCTTATAATATAGCTATCCGCTGGCTACTTTCCTCACACAAGGCTCATAATGACCAATACTTGTTAGTTTCTAAATTTCGGATGTTATTGTGATATATTTAGTCGCAAACGAGCAGATTACCTCGTTAAACCCCACAGATTGACGCACTAACGTTACGATTAGAATTCCTAGCATTCATATGATATGTGAGGAGGACATTGGCAACCTGAGGCACTTGGCAACCTATAAATCAGTTTTTCCATAATAAATCCTCGCATATTAAGAAATAATTTTAATCAAGGCTTCAAACTGACAATTACACTCTTTACTCAGCGTTTTATTGGAGTTTCTCAGAGCAGAGACGCTTGAGGGAGACAGCAGCCCCTCTCTCCCCCCTCTGATCTCTGTAGAGACACACATAGCTCACAGGCGCTCAAGCGTGTCCCCATGAAGATGGTATTTATTTCATGCGATTGAACAGAGCCCTCTTAATCTTCAAACTCCATCAATGGTTTTGACGTTTTTTTTCCCAAGGTTAATTTTCACAGACGACATTAAAGTGAGAAATCCTATTGTTCATACGTTGCCCAATGTCTATGAGCGCATAATCACGTAAAACTGTTTGAGCAAACATTTCAGTGCATCAAGAGCTCACAAAGAAACTTTCTTTCACTAATGGATTTGTTTATCAGTGTTTAGCGATAAATACTTTTATTTTGCTTTGTTGTAGCTATAGATTAAGATGACAGTATTTTAGGATTTACTTGGACAAAACGCGCTTTCTTTTTGCCAAGACTTTATCGCTTTGAAATGATATCAGTTTCAAGTTGCGCTTTAAAAGTCGCTTTTTTCCCCTAAGGAGGACCCCTCATGCTATTTAGGTGAAGGAGTGGCGGTAATATACAGTTTGCATACAACTGGCGCCAGACTGACTCGCTGTGTATCTGAGTGACTGAGTTTAGGATCCTGGCAATTACTGCCGCCACTCTTAAAGAGACAGTCCACATTATGCTTTTATTTTTCCCCCACGAGCAAAAGGCGAGGTCATTACTTATCCAGATACTTTTTTCCTTTGTGTCCTCGAAGTTTTAATGCTTTCCTTTGTTACTAGACGAGTTTTTGATAGATAAAAAATAAAATGTTTGTGTATATATAATAATTTATTTAAAATAATTATTTAACTCACTATTATTGTGTATGTTGGTGTTTAAAATATTTTCATGTTATATGCTTACCCAAAATCAATGATAAATGTTTTCTTTTTAATCCAATGTGTTTTAATCTACTATTTAAAAAAGGTATTTGGTGTTTTGTTAGCTTACAAACTCAATAGAAAATTAAAGTATTACACTGAGCTGCTATTATTTTGGATTTAGATTTTTCAACTCTAATATTTGTTGCAACATGTTGAGGTAACATGCGGTACCTACCTGTATAGCAAATAAAAAGACCAAGATGGAATCTGCAGACTTTTTTTCTCCAGTGATTTTGAGAAAAAAACTGAAAAAATTTAACTCGGTAATGGTGTTAACATGGGAAAATGTGTTAACCAGAACTAGGAGTAGTACGCTCTCATTGATCTCAAAGCATTATAATTTTGCAGAAATTGGGCACTATCTGCACAGTTTTGTGTATACAGATACCATATGGACCTATACATTTTCTACAGTGCTGTAGACAAGATTATACAGTGGGCATAGAAAAGAATCACCCCCTTTAAAATAATCACATTTTGTTGCTTTGCTGCCTGAAATGAAGACGGACACAGTTTTTGTTTTATCCAGTTGTATTTACTCAGTGCAACTTATAACATCCAAGTGAAAGATATAACACCAACATGTCAGGAAAAAAACAAAAAACCCAGAATCACTGAGTAGGAAAAAGAATCACCCCCTTGTGTGAGTATTTTGTTGAACCACCTTTTTGCTTTAAAGGGGTCATATGATGCTTTTTTAAAGATCATTATTTTGTGTATTTGGTGTAACAGAATATGTTGACATGCTTTAATGTTCAAAAAACACATTATTTTTCAAATACTGTACATTATTGTAGGTCCTCTATGCCCCGCCTCTCTCAAACGCTTCGTTTTCTACAAAGTCCCTCCTTCCGACAAGCACAGTCTGCTCTGATTGGCCAGCTGACCCAGTGTATTGGGATTGGCCGAACACCGCAAGTGTAATGTAACCGGAAATGTAACGCCCCTTACCATAATCGCGAGCTTCATCTTTCAAAATAAACGTAAAGACAGAGCCCAAAAGGGGAACAGAGTCGCGTGACAGACACAGTGATGAAGCTGGTATTTTCCTCAAGAATTTGAAGGTATTTGTCCCATTCATTTTTCCTTCTATCCTGACAAGTGCTCCAGTCCCTTCTGCAGAAACACCCCATAACAGGATATTATAACCTCCATGCTTTACTGTAGGAATGGTGTTATTTGGATGGTGAGCTGCATTGGATTTCCGCCAGACATATCGTTTGGTGTTGAGGCCAAATAATTCAGTTTAAATCTCATCTGCCTCAGAATCTTCAAGGTGTGTTTTGGTAAAGTTCAGTCGTGACTGCATGTGGCCTTTCTTGAGGAGTGGCTTTTTTTTGTAATTGTACCATGATATGTAACTGCAATCATGTCTATCCCCGGACTGGCCAAATGTCTACTGTCCACTTAATTTGATTAATTGATTGTGAAATGACTGTTTATGATTATTTGAATCAACTGTCTATTGTGTTACTGCTTTTGTACAGCGTCCTTGAGCTTGGGAAAGGCGCTATATAAATTAAACATATTAATATTATTATTATTTTTTTTGCAACCCTCCCATACAAGCCACATTTGTGGAGAATTTGTGATATTGTTGTCACATGCACACAATGACCACTCTTTGTCATAAATTCCTGCAACTGCTTCAGAGTTGCTGTAGGCCTCTTGGGAGACTCTTTGACCATTTTCCTCCTGGCTCTTTCATCCATCATAGACTTCACTGGGCTTCTAGGCACTGATAAAGCCTTTGACATTTTTTTTTTGTATCCATCCCCTGACTTGTGCCTATTCACAACTTCATCCCGGAGATCTTTTGACAGTGCCTTGCCACCCATAGTTGATTGTTTGCTTCAGTTGCACTACCAAGGACTGAAATGCTCCAGGAAAGCTCTTTTCATGCTGAGCTAATCAAAATGACTACAGCTGATCACAGTTGAAAGTCAAATGGCTTTGTGTGCCATCGAGAAAGTGATTAGCTAAATTTGATTGAGTTTACAAGTCATTTAGGAGGGGGGTGATCCTTTTTCCAACTCAGTGATTCAGTTTTTTTTTTTTTATGACATGTTGGTGTTATATCTTTCACTTGGATGTTATAAATTGCACTGAGTAAATACAGCTGGATAAAACAAAAACTGTGTCCGTCTTCATTTCATGCTGCAAAGCAACAAAATGTGAATATTTGAAAGGGGAGTAATTCTTTTCTATACCCACTGTACATATCGTCTACATTGTGTCTTGTCATTAATATATTGCTCTTTTTGTGAGCCACAGACCCAACCTAGTCAGTCCAGATTAAGCAATATATCTATATTTAACTTCCCCGTGTTTTTCTATTCCAATTGTAATCATATTGCTGTTATATTTTAGAGTCACCCCCTCCTCCATACTCAAGACTTTCCCCCAGCGAAGAACACAAGCCACTGGGTAAGTTTTACATATCTACAGCTCTAATTGCTGAATAAATATGTATTTATTTAAGATGTCATTGTAAATGATAATGTACATGCACATTCTGAGGGAACAGATGATGAGAGATCATTTACTGACAAATGTAATAAAATAATCTGTGTAACAAAATAACCTGGCCAAAATAAGTCAGTACCATCAGTTGTCACCCACTGGTTGAATCCCTGGCTTTACGGAGAGCCAAAGGGGAAGCAAAAAGTAGAACAACGTGAAGAATTTTAATGGTGGCAATTAGGCACAGTGACCAACTGAGAGCCAGTGGAGGTCGCAGCCAGTATCCCGTGGGCCCATTTTCAGCATGCCAATCTGGAGCCAGCCTAGGCTCGGCCCTGTCTGTTGTGAGGGTTGCTGGGGCCTGGCACCGGGCTGGGATATCCTCTCGGTACCATAGCTCAACATCGGACACACTGTTGACAGGAGGTGGGGTGGAGAGTGGGTACCATCTGGAACTGATGCTTTGGTGGTTTGCAGCTCAGCCTGATAACTCATTTATTTATTTCTTGGATTGGCTCAATACCAACATATCAGCTGTTGATACCAGTACCAATGAGATTTCTATGTAAAAATGTTATATACACTACCATTCAAAGTTTGGGGTCGGTAAGATTTATTTATTTAGAATGAAGTCTCTTATGCTCACCAAGGCTGCATTTATCTGATGAAAAGTAATATTATAAATATTATAACAATTTAAAATAACTGTTTATTCTTCTAAAAATATTTATTCTTTCCTTTGATGGCAAAGGTGAATTTTCAGCAGCCAACACTCCGGTCTTCAGTGGCATATGGTCTTTCAGAAATCAATGTAATTTTCTGATTTGGTGCTCAAGAAACATTTGAAAATTAAGATTTATGTGGAAACCATGATATTTCTTTTTTTCAGAATTTTTTAATTAATCAAAAGTTCACAAGAACAGCATTTATTTGAAATTGAAATCTTTTGTAACATTATAAATAAATAAAAGTATTAATTTCTTTTTAAAAAAGATTCTTACTGACCCCAAACTTTTGAATGGTAATGTAAGTATTTATATAATAGAAATATTAACAATTTAAATTAAAACTATGGCATGTTGCTTGGTAGCTGTACTTTCAACATTCCTAGTTGTATCATCAAATTAAAAAGGAATTTAAAATGATTGTTGAAATTTCTAACTAACTAACTAACTAACAAACTCTAACCAGATGACATCCTTTATCTCCTCAGATCTGTCAGATTCCACACTGTCTTACACTGAAACAGAGGCTGCCAGCTCGCCTAACATCACCCAACGGGACTTCTCAGGTGAGTTTTCTTATTTTAAATATTTCTGCTCTGAAATGTTGAGTTGCTCTGTTTTAATTCCGTTTGTTTGGAATCTTCGTGTCAGCATGGCCTGTGATACCATTGTCAGACTTGTTGCTGTTATTTTCAGTCCCGGAGAGCTCATGTGGTAACATCTTTGTTCAAACAAAGGCTACGTGCCTGTGATGGTGACCTTGCACCAGATATTTACATTTTCCTCCCTTCTGCGAAAGAGAGCAGTGAGCATGCAGAGGGTGTTTTCCATTTTAGTTGTCATACAAATCTCAAAGTTTGGCAGGAATATTCCAGTGACATTGTTTTGCATACGTTTTAAGGGCCAGGAAGGGGTTAAGTGCTCAGTAAAAGTCTAAAATGCAAAGAAAACAGCTAGGCATACCTTCCGCTGTCCTAAGTTCTGCGGGTTCCCATGGAGTGTGTTTGAATAAATGAGCAAACTTTGCAGGTAATTTGGTTTTTATGTTGTGCTTTGCTCCTCCTCATTAAAGGCCATTAGGATTGGAGAGAGTGCGGTGGAGATAAAGCTCTCATTGTGAGCCCAGCAGAGGTTCAGTGGGCCGTGTTGGCTGGCCATAGAGCCTGCCTCCCCTCCTCTGTTTTCTTTCAGAAATATTTGAGTGGGATCAAACTGTAATAAGATCCAAGCTCGCAGGGACACACACACACTCGAGCACACCGAGTCACGTTATACGTTTTGCACACAACGACGCGTATCGGAACACGCACACACAAATGCACATATCAGCCTTTACAGCTCTATCTTGACCGGAGTAGACTTTTTTCCGTCGCTGTGAAAGGGCCACACTGAGAAAAAAGAGGAGAAACAGTCTTGTGTCATGGTTTGAGATGAAACACTCCCCTCTTATGGAATGAAATCAACATGCTTCTCTCATTAAACTGGAACCGCACTGTGCATGCGTAGGATCATGGCCGCAGAGACAGAAAGGCTAAGGCCTTGCTTTGCAGTGCTAGAAATAGCATTCAAAGAGAGCGGGTCAATCCGCCCCCTTTCCCAGAAGGAGCTACCTGAGCTTGTGGCTTCATGCACCCTGTCACCACCACTTCACAGGCTGGCGACACTCCTTGTGCAAACAAATTATGTTTCAAATGCTTGCTTAGATTTTTTTTCTCTGGATTGGGTTCATGTGAACTATGACTTGCTTGTAGGTTCATAATCAGGCCTTTTTAGCCTGCATGCAGGATCGTTTTTAACTAGATATGTTTTATTATTGTCATATACTGACATAAAAGAAAAAAATATCACATATGGTACCATATTGGTTATCGGACAATTTTGTTCTTTTTTTTAATACATTTTATCAATATTGTTTTTTTTTTTTTTATATTTAAATATGCATGCTCATGTCCCCTTTCTTACATTTAGATCGCTTTAAAAAATGTTAATCTTTGGAATTTTTTAAATTTTTTTTTACGGAACATTATAATACTGTGATGGCTAAATTCAGTTGTACATTTAAAAACTATTTATTTTGCCATCATCTACCACTCACTTAACATTTAAACATTTTAGTTACACTTTTCAATGTAATCTTTAGGAAATTAATATTCATTTTTCATACTATACATTATAAGGTTGTGATGCCTAAATTCATTTAGAATTTAAAAAAATTTAAGAATTTTAATACAGTGTCTCCATACAAGGAAATCTTGCTAGTTAAGCATTCAAAACACATCATATGCAGGTCTTTTTCAGTACGGCTTATAATAATTTGGTGTGAAGCATTGCATTGGCAGCTCTCTAAAATGTCTGTAGCTGAAATTGTTAAAATTCCATAGGTGACCCTCTCCAAATCACCAAACATAAGGTATGTAGATTTGGAGAGGGCCACCGATGGAATTTCATCCCTTTCCTTTATGCTACCTGTAAAGAAAGAAAGGAAACGGATCTAAAATCTAAAAGCGTTCATACATATGGCCATCCGCCCACCCTGAGTCCCTTATCCCACCCCACCCACATGCAGGAACTAGTAAAGCTCTTGAAAGTGAGGCCGGGGGGCCAAATGTGGGAGGGGAGCAGATTGCAGCCCCCTGGACGAGTGTAACTCCTGTTCTGAACACTCATCCACTCTGTTTGACAATAGTAACAGAACACATCTCAATGAGTCTTATGAAAACTCCTTGCCGCCCAAGGGCGAGATTTTAGAGAATTTGGCGGCTTTGTTTGAAAGACAGTCTGTGGATGCTCGAGATCTGAGGCCATTTATGTAATAGATCTTTGATGTCTTGCTACCTCAATGAGTTTGTTTGAAGCACACTGCGTTAGGATTTTCAGCTCAAATCTTTTTTGAGTTTCTGTAAGCTTTTCTGCATGTATTTAGCAGTTTTGCGAGTTTGTGCATGACTGTTTTTTTTTGTACGCCCTGGAATCCATCTGAATATTTGCATTTCTATGTGTTTGTGTTGGTGTCTGAGATGTCTGCGCTCCCGTGTTTGGGTACATCTCTGTCTGCTTGTGTTGTTTGTATTTGGATGTCTATAGTTTGGCATTTCACCCGCAGTTTCTTGTTTAAAAGCAAATGTGTTTGTCAGTTTATGTCTACACTGTGTCAGCGGTGTTTGCTATGTTTTCAAAGCATGGCCGTCGAAACATGTGGTCGTGATGTGCTACATGTGTGTCTGTAAAAACATTGTGTGTGCATGTGTGGTTCCACTCACATTCTGTAGCTGTGACTGGGTTGTAATGCAGCCCACCTGTTTCCTCACTCCTTGTTGTGACCGTGTGGAGATCAGAATTATGTTCTTTGAAGTAGGTCTCATTGCTTCCTGTATAACTGTATGCCTGTGAGTTTGTGTTTGCTCTCTGTATTGGGGTTTTTACGATCTTTGGGTTCACAAGCCCCTGTATTGGGAGATGGTCTCCTCATCCTCTGATGCTCACTGAGAATGTCAGCATGATCATGAGGTTGGGCACAATTTTGTCATGATTCATGAGTTGTAATTTGAATTGAATTGGATACACTCACAGGACATTGAATTTGATTTTTTATTTTTGTTTGTAGTTCATGTAAAACAGATAATTGTATTCTCTCAAATGTTTTTCCATACTGGAGCATTAAATGAAACTATCTATCTATCTATCTATCTATCTATCTATCTTATATGCAAGTTGTTCCATTCAATATCCATATCCATTTCAATTCATTTAAATTCTACTTTAATTTCCTATTTGCTAGTAATTCAGCAGTTGAATTGGAATTTAAAGATCTCAACTGGATTCTGAATGACGCACATCCCTGCTGCAGAGCAGTAGAATTGTTTTTCCAGTGATTATTAGTCTTTATGATGAGGGATCTGACAGATGTGGAGTGGAAGGCCGGCAGGGCTGCACAAAACAGTGGCTGTTTATAAATCATTCTCTGACCAGCCATAGATGTGCTACAGCTGAGAGATGCACCCTAATAAGCCCCCTGGAATTTGTCACCATATGAGGAAAAGGAAGCAAATCCAATGTGTTTTCATGCGTGTGCGTTCTTACACTGAGATGTCACAATCACAGTGAGAACTTACTGAAGTTGTGTCATCACTGTGAGAGAGACTCCACGTCCCACTGAGGAACACTGTGGTGCAATTGTGTTTTGTATGTTGTGTTTATTTTTCCTTGAGAATGTAGGAAAGGCGGTTAGATGGCTGTGCGGGTAAGTTCATCGAGTGCTGTTGTGGCCCGAGGAGGAGGAAAGGCTCAGTCAGGTATAGAGGAATGGTTTGGTGATCTGTAATTTTACTCTGGGTTCACTCCTGGTGCTTTGTGATATTTACACTGCCCTCCCTGTTTTTGGAGAGTAGACCACAGCCAGGCTGGCATCCCTATGTGTGGCCTATCAGTGCTGTATGTCTAAAAAATGGAAATCAGTGACAGTCTCATTCAACTGTAATGGACTTTACCAAACTGATCAGCATTGTGACTGTAAACCGAATCCCCTTTTCCATCAACAGAGTGTTAGTGTTGGTAACTGGTGTTGGTGTCCAATCTGGATCTATTCTGGCTCCGCTTAGCCCATTAAACCCATTAAACATCAGAAGCCAGGGTGTGGGATAATGTCTCTAATGTCTACAGTTTACAATTTAAGAACAACTAAAAACACAAATTTGATGGTGAAAAACTAGATCAATCCCATTATTATCTGAATATGTGGCAAGGTGCTCATTCACTGGACTAAATCCAAGACATTTATTTTTCCCCATTTTAAATAATTTAAATAATTTGTATGTTAATTGAAATATGAAATCTTTATATATTTTATATATTTAAATTAATAATTAATAAACAAACACTACAATGTGCTATATTGGTTTGTGAGTTGGTTATGTAAAAGCACATTCAGTTATCATTGATTCTCAGCTGAACGGCAATGTGGGCAAATTCAGAGATCTACCGATCTATACAATTTCAGTGGAAAAAGGGTATGCGTCATGAAGTATGAAAGGTGCTGAATCCGAACTGATCTAAACAGGTAGCATCGCTTGCACAAGGAGCCACTGGTTGATCCCAGTATTGATAGTACAGCTTCTTGTCTTTGTTTTCATAAAACTGTCGTCTTACAGGCCAGTGTTTTGTTTTGACTGATAGTCTGACACATGCATAATCACATACTCTCCCTATCAGAAAATCACAAACAGACATTTTTTGTTTTTTTGATATACACACATGCCAGTTTGTCTAGGTCTGATCTGACCTCATTTCTACAGTGCATGAAAAGGGCATCTGGTCGGCCAACAATTAAACAAAGTAATCGAAGCATGTGACGGCGTGCTGATTACCACTGATTTGATTGCATCCATAGATTTTGAACAGCCTTAAAAAGGCATGTGATGTCTTCCCCTCAATTTATTTGCTGGCTCGCACATGCCTGAAATATCTAGACTGAGTTTCTAATTCTTTTAGTTGTCAATTCTTAAATCTTCATTATAGTTTTGTCATCTTTTATTTACCCTCATGTCATGCCAAAAAAGTATGACTTAGA